GATGTCTTTTGAGGGTAGGTAAATCTCAAATCCAGCCAATCGCCACTCTCTCTCGCTCCAACTTCCATGACATCTAAACTCCATCTACTCATCCAGTTGTCGCCTTTTGTGTCTAATCATAAGGCGCAACAGGATGGTGAACACAGCTCTAGATCTATAAACGTCGAGAGGGGGGCCATCAACGCCATCTGGAAACCGTTTCATCGATATGAATTAAAAACAAGAACCGTCTCACGTAAGCTTGGTATGAATGATTTCCGGGTTCTCATGCCAGTCGTCGATGCTCACCCACATCTGTTGTAAAAAGGGGTTAGCCTCGAGATTCCGCAGTGAATTGAGCCCACGGGAAAGAGTAGGCGAGTAGATTGTAACCTACCTTTCGGAAAGTGCTGAGACCAGCCAAAATACTTCCACCGATCCATGTCGAGTACTTGCGTTCTGGCGGCGCAAAAATCTTTATTCTCATGTCCTTGACGGCCAGTCGTTGCAGCTCCGTCAACAGACGGTCACCGAAGCCCCTAGTCAGCGTGCTGCCGCCAGAGAGTACAATGTTGCTGTAGAGCGACTTGCGCAGGTCGAGATCCGTCCTGTTGATGGCATCAACGACAATTTGGTGCACACCGGGGTACTCGAGGCCGATGATTTCTGGGTCGAAGAGGATTTCGGGTGCTCTGAATCGTTCCGCACCGATCTGTAAACATAGTCAGCCCACTTATCTTTGCCGTCTTCCATAACGAGAAACTGACTTTAAGCTTGTGACCGTCCGGAAGAACGTATTCCACGCCCTTGGCCGGATCTGTCCTGTTTGCCCACTCCTTTTCCTCTTTCCTGGGGTCGTGAGCGACATAAGTTACAGACTCCTTGATGAGCCGCACAACCTCCTTCTCGGCGCTGGTGTGGAAGACGTAGCCGCTCTTCCGCAGCAGCATTTGCATGTACTCGGTCACATCGCGTCCTGCCACGTCTATCCGCCTGATGCTGCTCGGCATGGCGAAACCCTCGTAAACTGGCACCGCGTGTGACACTCCATCACCCGAGTCAAGAACGATACCGGTTGTCCGGCCGCTAGCGTATAATGATAGGACGGCTTGGATTGATGTGTACAGTGCCGGGACGTTGAAGGTCTCGAAGAGGATCTGAGCCGCTGTGTCGCGATTGCTGCGAGGGTTGAGGGGTGGTTCGGTCAAGAGGACGGGATGCTTGAGGTGGGCATTAGTATCAAGAGCAGATATAGTGCGTCTCGCATATTGCACAAGCCATAAGCTGTGCCAAACGAACCTCTTCACTGAGCGTCTTGAGGCCTTCGCCGTAGACGTACTCCCAAATCTTTTCCATATCGTCCCAGTCCGTGACGATGCCGTGCTCCAGCGGGTACCTGATCTTCAGCAGGCCTCTGAGCTCCGTTGCCGCCTTCTGTCCGATAAAGACCTCGCCCTCGAGCGCGCCGGCGAGAACTCTCAGATGCTTGGGCCGACCGACGAACGAGGGGAAATAGCATTTGGGCAGGTCGTCGCCTGCGAAACCGGCACGGATTGTACCGGAGCCATTGTCCAGGACAATTGGCGCGTTGTGCAGCGAGTCCGTCATCTTGTGAGATGCATCCGAAATTTCAATAACAAAATGGTATTGTTTGTCTACACCTCGAGCCTTTTAGCCCTCACGATGCTCGTGCTGCTGGTCGTTTCGGTTCGTTTTCGCGGCGGAACCCCTTTGTTTGTTGGTCGGGCGGTGACTGCAAGTGGGGGCGATTCGATGCTTGGTGGCTCGATGGCAGTCAACAGAAAGCCGCACTCGAGCTTGTTGGCAGGTCCCTGGTACCTGTTTGTCAGGTATTCTCGTTGAGTCGTGGTCGCAGTTGCTCGCCTTTGGAGGTGATAGTGTTGTCAAAATGGTTAAAAGTGGCAGCTTCAACACGACGCGGTAGCAGTCCGGGGAGCTGCATGGGCGCGAATGAGGGACTAGGACAAAGGTGGAGTAGCGCACTTCGGAGCTTCCATGCACGGGCCTCTCAGGGTCTCTCGAAAGGTTGTAAGTGAAGTCCAGACAAGAGTACATGGGACGATACAAAGTTTATGACTTTTATCGTACTAATAAATTCATGTAGGCAAGCTCGATGTTACTCATGGTCAAAGATAATAAACCTGAGGATTTCAGGTGGGTTCTTAGTTTGAACAAAGTAAATTATGCATGGTCCGTACGGACTTCTACCGATGCTATAGGTATCCAAGAAGCCCCAGAACGCCTTCAGATGCTTGAGATATGTACTGGTATCTCGTGAATGTCCCAAATTCCCAAATATAACTTCCAACTCCTGTATCGTTGTTGCCAATTATCCCATGTTGTGGATCGACTATCCAAAAGGCTGTTTACATGTGGCCATCGACAAGCAGCATGCTTGCGTAGGGCCAGCCGAGGATGCCGAAAGCAAGGGGGAAGAACCTGTTTGGTGTAATGTTAATCACTGTCATCTCTTCTGTAGCTAAGGCTGTGATGGCTTCTTACATTGCTGCGGTGACGGCACGCTTCTTAATCATGGCACCGTAGTAAGGCTTGGCGTGAACACCAGTCTGCGACATTCTCTGGAAGGGATGAGGCTCGAAGGACCGGGCGACGTTGCGCATGTTGTGGAGGAGAGTAAACTGTCTGCGCTGAACAGCGAAGCGAGCAGCGTTGCGGGCGGCGAAGGCGGGAGACATTTTGAGTGGTGATTGGAGGGTTGGCTTTTTTTTTTGGTGTTGAGTCAAGAGACTTCTATTGATTTGATGGAGAGGAGTGAGGTGAAATGTAATACCCTCGTACAGAAGATGTAGTGGAGAGTTTGTTTGGTGTTGTTGATGTGTGATGATGATGAGAACGGGAATGGGAACACGACAGGCGGGAAGCTGCTTTGGATCTTATACCAAGGAAAAGATTGTGCCTCCAGCCCGCATACCTACAAGATCTGTGAATCTTGACAAAGGACTCCGGGATTTCCAACGGCAAACGCCTATTGTGGGCAGATGGGCGGGCATCTTTGCCCGTAAGATTGCCGTGCCTGGAGGCTTCTAACCTGGGCTGGGTCAAGATCATGCCATCCCATCTTGTAAACGGATCCCCCCAAAAGCCAGGGCCAAGGGTTTGGATTTCTGCAGCACCAAAAAGAGGTGTGAATCATGAATGACAGCTATGTCTCATCCAATAGGCGCAGCCGCGAAAAGGGGGCAAGCGCCGCGCTTGGTAACGTGGTTCGCAAAGCCCGAGTTGGAGGGGGCCCGTTTGGATTCCAGCCGTTGTTAGCAACCAACGAAAAAAAACTGACGTTGGGCGATCGTGCGTTTTCAGGTGGGTTCCTGACGACTGCCAACATTAATGGGGTGATGTGGTCTGACGGGAGGCACCGAGTACGAGCGCTGATTGGACAGAAGCGGGGCCAGGAATCCTGTGCCAATGACATGATCGCCATTTCCTTCAGCTATCGAACCACAGGCCCCGACCGGCTGGGTGCGCTGACGAGGGAGAATCCGGGGAAAGGTTGACAGCTGCCTTGCTTCCGAATCGACAGATTTGTATCCTACAGATCCCGAAAAGAAGAGACCACAACTTTGAGATTAACAGTCATTACCCAAACAAGGCATACCGTGAGACAGTTACCATGTGTTCTGTGAGCAGACCATACCGCAGATACGTACCTTTCCACAAGTACCTGTTTCCTCAAGGTGAACATGAGGAACAGTGTACTGTACGCAGTAAGTGTCTTGCTTAGGTAAGCACGACAGTAGATCAATCTGGGGTTCGTTATCAGACCCTCCGCATCTTATCGTCATGTGATCCGGTCGGATCCGACTGCACGGTGCCCGCGCCTCGACGCGTCCGTTCCGGGATTTTTCCAGAGCCGTGGCCTTCCGGGTACCCATTCACGAACTCAACCCGTATCTTGCCTCAGCCATTGACCGAAACGACAGGAGACTGGGCTCCGAACCCCGACCGAATCGATCGCCTCACCCCATCCTCCTCCTTACCCACACCATGCCACTGGTCGACCCCGTGACAATGTCAGCGCCAGCATCATCAAAAGCCGCCTCCGACGCGGGCAAGCCAAAGGACAACGTATTACATCCTGTCCAGGCCCTGGCGAGCCCTGCTGCGCAGGTCGTCCGACACCTCCAGCCGGTGCTCATCTCCGGCCTCTTCCTCGCGCAGTTCAGCTCCCTGGTGACCGGACCCGTGCGAACCCTCCAAAACTCGCTCCCCATCGTCGTCGCGATCCAGGTCGTCTACGCCTTTGTCAGTCTGCCGGCAGCCGGATCGCAAAGCGTGAGGCCGTCGAGGAAGCCTCGGCCAGGCGAGAAGAAGAAGGTTGAGAGCACGGGGCCCAATATTTTCATTGTAAGTCACAATATTCGGCCAATTCGAGGAAGGGCCATAGCTGACTATCGGGAACCCCTCAGGCTATATTCCTTTCCCTCCTCCTCGCTGTCCTCGTTACGCCAGCCATCCACGTCGTTCTCGTCCTCTTCGGCGCCCCCTTTTTGACGCATGTACCGCATACCCTCCTCTGCTCCGCCAACGTCGCCATTCTCTCGCTCTTCCCGCTCTTCTACGTTCATGGAGTCGATGCGAGCACCTGGGCGGCTCTCGCCAGTGCGGCGGCACCGTTGGACGAGGCATACGGCGGTCTCGTAGGAGGCCTGTTGGGCGCGTGGCTCGGTGCGGTGCCCATTCCGCTCGACTGGGATCGTGAGTGGCAGAAGTGGCCCGTCACTATTGTCTGCGGCCTCTACGCTGGATACATCTTGGGCAAGACGATTGGCGGCACATTGGCGTTTGGCAGGAAAATGGCTCCCTCGGCGCACGACGACGAATGAACTCCTATGACGCTTAAAGCCAAGTCCACCCTACAAAACATTCTTTAACAAATCGTAGCTGGAATAGCTTGCGGAAACACGGCACCGGTGGCGCCAATAGATGTTCAGCGAAAGTACGGACCTCGTTGCCTTGGTATACACTCCAAGCCAGTTGTGTCATGTCCAATGCTGAACCAACAATGGCTGGTGGGCAGTAGCCTCAGACGTGCATGTCTAGGCAGTTTGGCAGTCTAGGATTGCCTATGAGAGCTAGTCCTTCACTGTTGGCCAGACCCGGCTTTCGTGGGGAAACCGATGTATAGTAGCAGAGCCGATTGCCAATGAGGTCGCTTGGCCCGGCCGAAACAAGAAATAAACATGTTAATAATAGCCTCGGGCCTGGGAAGTCAACGGACGCGCAAATGTGACACTACATCATCGGCCCCTTGAGCCTCAGGCGTGCGCAAGTGTGGCGTTGGTTGCGACGAAATCGCAATACCTAATTGTTCAAGGCACGCAACATTCGTCGCGGCATACCTCACAGTTACCAGCCACAGCTAGCCTTGCCGCAAGCCTGCCGGTCTTGCCCAGCCCTACGAGCTCGGAGCAAGGGCGATATCGAGGATTTGACGTCTTTTCGCCGCCCACGTTGAGTTCCCCGTTGCAGAGCGGAGACAGGCCGCGTCTCCTCCCTAGCCCTGGGAGCTGCCGAACCGGCTTGGCCCTCTTTGCCGCCGGGCATGACCGGGCCCCTTGCGTCATAAGTCACGAGGGGCCTTGGGTTTCCATTGGTGAGACAGACTGACAGGTTTTCCTGTGTTGTTTGGGAGGAATAAGAAGAAGGGGAATTAGGACGAACGAGGAAAAGGAAATCTTAGGCGGAGGAAAAGAACCACCTGGATCGTCAGTGCATTGCGTCCTTCTCCGCGACGAGCGCGGACGGACCGATGTCCGCTGGAGAAAAGAATAGCATCAACCTTGACTTCTTGAGTTGTTGGGGGCCTCGACATGGACAAGACAGGCAGACCCTGGAACGCATCTGTGGCTGAGTCGTCACTATTGTCCCATGAAGCAGCTTCCGATGTGTGGCGTTTGTGGCTCATGACGCGCACCTTGAGGCTTGCGTGCATGGGGATGTCCCCTGACCAGCTTGAAGCTGTTTTGACTGGATGACGATAGGTGGAGCCATGAGCAAAAAGAGCAAAATTAAGAAGAGCGGACCCCACCAGCGCGGCGCTAGCAAGGGCTCGGTTGATGACGTAGCACCCACCTTTATCGCGTCCACCGAAAAGAGTTCACGCAGTGCTGAGGTACATGAGGGAGCAAGTATAGCAGTTGAGCAGGAATTAGCTGTACAAGTTACTCAAGGACGTCGGGCTAACCGCACAGAGCCCCTCAATGACGGCGGGAAAAGTCTGGGCAAGAGGGATGGAGGGACGCGCAATGGGTCTCGATTTAGTAAGGATAGATCGGAAACCGAGGCCACCGCGATCCAAGACGATTGAACATCGTGAAAGCGCGGAGAGGAAATAACGACGAAGACGTAGGGGGACCGAATGTTTGCCGTGGAAGCGAGCTTCGGAGGCTGAGAGCAGGCATCCAATCCTCGTCAATGGGATCTGAGAAACCTGGCAGTGTGCGCTGCGAGGTCTGATGCAGCGACAAAGGCATGACAGGCAGCAGGAAGGTCCAGATGCCGTGTGTCCCAGTGATACGTCGTAAGGGGCTCCCATTTGCTCCGCTCGGGTGCTTGTTTCCGCAGGCGCAGGAGGGGAGAGCCTGCAGCAGTGCAGAGGAAGAGGAGGAAAAAGAGACAAGGTCATTGCTAAAGTGGGCGGAGGTGTGGCTTGTCCGCAACGCACGGCAAGAGCCATCCCATCTTTTCCTTCTTCTCTCAAGGCGTAAATGGCCTAGCCAGAGGCCCAGAGCTTGCAGTTCGTGTGGCCATGTGCTGGTGCTGCCGCTTGTGCCTTATTTTCCTTGCCGCAGCAAACCGGGAATGAGTCGATGACGCAACTCCTCTCTCATACCACACCCCCAAGCCTTTCCCGGCACGACCAGACGCTCTTGTTGCTCGTTGGCTCGTCTTGGGAGGCTGCGCTTGGGTACTTTGGGGGGGGAAGACATGTCTGCCGGGCCTCACTGGCCTACCACCTGCGACTGGCTTGTCCCTTGTCAGACGTATCCGTAAGGTAAGGTCAGGTTGGTACGGAGGAGAGCGGGAAGGGGTGGCCCATGCAAGTCCACATCACATCACTGTGAGCTCGTCCTTGCCTTTTTTTGTATTTTTTCCTGCGCTGGGCTGTGGCTTCCCAGTTGGCAGTTGCTCTCATTCCTGCTATATAACCATCTCTTCCCCAGCCCACTTACCATTCGAATCCCCTCCCCTCATCAACCAACGAACTTACATTCGACATCACACATCAGATCTTCAGGATCCCGTCACGAACTATCCTACACAAATAAACACACCGTTTGACAACACCAACACATCAATCAACATGCCTTTCACCGCCTCCGATATCTGCAAGATCATTCTTGCCGTCATCCTCCCGCCCGTCGGTGTCTTCCTCGAGCGTGGCTGCGGCGCTGACTTCTTCATCAACATCCTGTTGACCATTCTTGGTAAGCTTAACAGTTCTTCAGACACTGTGAATCTAGTTAACAATAATAGGTTACCTCCCTGGTATCATCCACGCTCTGTACATCATTCTGAAGTACTAAGCGAATCGTCGCTGCATTTCTCCGATCGTAATCGCCTACACGAGAGGGCATGATGATATCCAGCAACGGGAGCGACATGAACTCTACCTACTCTCAAGGATGTGTCACCACGCCTTCCCGAAGAGTGTGACGCTGTAGGCGGTGGCCGGGCATTCCAGCGATCTTGGCTCTCCGTCTCATCCGGCAATGCTGGGGGATCCTCCTGCGCCAGCTGCAAGGATGCATGCTGCTCTGCAGGGTTGGCCTATTACCCCTTACCTCACCAACCTCCACCACTGTTTTTTACGACAACGACACAGCAACGGCCTCTTTTCATAATTCCTGGCGGTTCCATTCTTCGGACTTTGTCACGTTACTTCTCACCTTGCGGAATGCGACTTTTCGAAACGATTTGTTTTGGGCAGGCATTCGAGACCAGGAAGTGGAGGAGGAATTCTCGCTGTGTGTAGCATGCTTAATTCGATACCCGACATATCAATCTCTTCAAACTACTTTACTATAAAGTCTTCGTCGTGAATCCTGTTCAGTGTGTCCAGCTGTGAGAATCAATGCTTCAGACCATGCCGCAAATTCCTGAACACAGTCAGCTGTGCTGATACGCGGTTGGACGTCCCCACAAGACCACCAAACCATTGATGCAGATCCATGTGATGTCATGCTTGTTGCATTGAAACGTTTACAACCTTCTGTATACTGCCATAAGTATTCTAGACTATTGTCAGAAACATCCGACTTTGCGACGCTACTTTGGAGCTTATTTCCTTTGCGATGACTGCGCTCAGATGACTTTGTGATTGTGAAATAACCTTGTTTCCATCATATTGAGCGGAGTGCTAACACGAGAATAAGCATGCCAATGGCCCCCAAATTGCTTGCTGATCCGCCCTATTGCTCGCAGTCTGCCTCGCGGGTACTCCGTACGAGACTACGGAATACAGCAGAAATGATTCATTTTGCAAATTGCAACATGGTGAAATCCGCCAGCGCAGCGGAAGCCGAGGGACGCGTACGCAACTCGGACGCAGAAGAGCTCGGCACTGCGGGTACCTCTGGGCTTTCTGGCAATCGGCGCGAAGCCAGAAGCGTCCGGGGGCCCAGGGCTCCATTGTGGCTGGCTGGCCGGCCGCTGGCAGCAAGCGCCCGGTGGGACAGGATAGGACAGGACAGGGCCCCCGCCTTCGCGGTGAGGCCTGTATCCCTGTCCGCTAGTTTAAATTGCACTTTGGTAAGGTAGGCGCAGACCGCAACCAGTCGGCTGGTCACTGCCCTGGTGAGGGAGGAATCGAGCAGGAAAAAAAAAAGAGAAAACGAGATGGCGCGGGTATGGCCGCGAAGCGCAAATGCGAAAATAGAGACAGGGCAGAATATCAAGAAAGATACCTTAACGGTCCACATCGGAATGACTCGAGTTCCGAGTCGGTACTTTGAAAACAATGCTTCATTGCCCGCGGCAGGTCTTGATCTTTTGAAATTTCTTTATTTAATTCTTTTTCTCGAGGCCCACCCTGAATGGTCCCTTGGCCCCCAGGTGATCGCTCTCGCCTTACTGGGCTAGGGGGCGGTTGTTCCGGAGTACCCGCCTCCCAACTCTACCATGGAGCTTTTTGAGATTGATTTGCGATGAACCCCCTTCTATCTTTTCCGAGGAGAGGGGCAGTCACGGGGAATCTAGATGTCACTGGGTATTTTCCAGTTTTATGCAGCTGTGGTGGGAATGAGTGTACTATGGTCAAATGACGCAGAGATAGCTTCAACTCTTCTTCAAGCTCTTCCAACCTTGAACGACAAGATCTGTGTGAAGACAGCGTTAGGATACGTGTATGTGAGTATCAAAAAAAGGGGGCGAGGCAATACTTACATCGTTCTTCCCAACCGTGACGAGGTGGTCTTCCGCGACCCTCTGGCCGCCGGCGCCCTCGATGTACGCAATGGGCGCGTCGCCCATGACCTTGCGCGCCGCCTCGCCGACCGTGGTGCCCTTCTTGACCAGCACGCAGTCGCGGAAGACAAACTTGGACTCGGCAGCGCCGGAGGTGAAGGAGGTGGTGTTGCGCACCGGGAACACCGGGACGAGGCCCAGGATCTCGGCCGCCTTGGAAAGCACCTGCACCACGCCCGTCGACCCGAAGCGGTAGAGCACCATGTCCTTGAGGTTCTCTATCCGGTTGCGGTTCTTCTCGTCCAGCTCTTTCAGGTTCCCGCCCGTAGGGTCCCCTTGCTCGATCAGGTCCTCCCGCGTGTCGACGAACTCGCTGCCTTCCGTGTACTTGATGTACCCTTGCTTAGCCATCTTGCGCAGGAAAATTTCCGAGATGGCGGAGCACAGCACGATCGTGTTGGGGTCCTGCATCTTTGCAATCTTTGCAATGTTCTTGTCGGCGTCCGGGTGGTCAATCTTGTTGAGCGCGATGACGGTCGGGAACTTTTCGTCGGTGAAGGCGTTGACGACGCGGTCAATCGTCTCGGCGTCCCAGTCCTCGAGCGGCTCCTTGATGCCCAGCCGGTCCAGCGCCCGCGCGACCACGTTGGAGGTACTCCCGTATCCCGAAAACTGACCCTGCAGCGTCTCGACGGCCGTGGCCTTGATGGCCATGTGCCGCCGCCGGATCGACCCCCACTTCTCCATCAGGTTGCCCCGGATCCAGGCCACGATCTCGCCGCGCAGCCAGGCGATGTCGACCGACGGGTCGTAGCCGCGAGTCTCTTTCCCCTCGGCGTCGACGGTGCCCGAGGCGTCCACCACGTGTATCAGCGCGTCGGCGTGCCGCAGGTCGTCGAGGAACTTGTTGCCTAGGCCTTTACCCTGGTGCGCTCCCGGCACGAGGCCGGCGACGTCGAGGAGCTCGATGGGTACCGAACGGCGGCCGTCGATGCAGGCGCCGTAGTTGGGTCGGCAGCGGTCCGAGACGCCGTGGCGCGCGCAGGCGCATTCTATTTGGAGGTAGCCGATTGCCCTTTGGGGATCGATAGTTGTGAATCTGCAAAGGGAGAGGTATTGAATGTTAGTGGATGCTGCTGAACCACCAACGAATAAAATAGAATCTCAAGTATATGAAGGAGGCGGCCAGGGTAAGGGTGAGAGTTGGAGCGTACGGGAAGTTTCCTGTTTTCACGATATGTCCATCAGCGACCAGGTCGGTGGGCGTCGGGGTTTTCCCTTCTCTCGGTCGAATGGATTTGGAGGTTTACGGACCAACTTTTGACGAGGCGTCTGTGAGACTGTTGAGCGTTGTGCTCTTACCGGCCGACGGCTTGCCGACCAGGCCGATGAGCGGATCTCGAGGCATTGTGGCGGTATTGTAAGGTAAAATTAGGGGAGAATGGGAGACGAAGGGGGAGGAAGGAGGCGGTGAAGTAGTCGTCGGGCAAGATGATTATATGGCTTGCTCCCTCGCGCAGTCTCGCGGTGGGCTCAAAAGTCGTTCGAGGTGTAATAAGTTTGCGAAAGGGCGTTGCGCACACAATCTTATCTTTATCGCCGAAACCTCGCTAATGCAATGAGGGGCATTCCCGGTCGTCGGTGATAAGTGTTATCGAGCGGGAATGACGTAGGCGTTAAACCGGGCCACGAGCGACGCATCGTCGGAGACGTGAATGCGAAATGAAGAAGATGCTGTGCGTTTGGGCAAGACATGAATCGACGTATCTTTCTGACTTACTGCGCATTAGCTACGGAATAAACCAAATGTCAATCCCGATTGATTGATGCTAGAGCTCACTAATTGACTTGTAGATTGCTTCTACGTGAATTAGTTTGCGACCTGTCACCATAGATGAGATGGAAACTGGTCTGTTTATTCCTACCTGTATATGAATCTTGACCGCCCTCGTTCTATCCCTTACGAATACCAATGAAGACGCAGCTCTCAACAAGCACCGTCCGTTGTAGTCGATGTCCGAGCGGTACGATTCTATCGTATGTTGGCTCACGGTCCTACATAAGGCCATGGATAGCTTGTTTTTTTGTGACCTTCGTAGAGGTCACGGGTTCAAGTCGACTATCACCATT